AAGAGTGGGGGGAAAAAAGCGCCAAAACCGAGTATGCTTAAAACTCAGTTGACCTACAGAAATGACGGACAACACAGAACACTCACTTCCAGGCACAGCTGCTTTGATGTGCACAAATGAAAAAATACAAATGATGTTAGAGATTTGTTTAGGAACTAGGAATGTCTGTTTTAAAAACTGGGTAAAGATAGTTCAAAGAGATTTCGTTTTCATGATCTAGTGAAGACTAACAGAACAGTAACGGTCGTAAGTAATTCCTCTTCCTTTGTAATCGTGCAGAATCTACCCTTAAAGAACCCGAGCCTGGCCATTCCTGGGATAAGCTCTGCAACTGGAAGCAGCTTCCCAAAGTTACTCTCCTGCTTCTCAACCACAGCAAGGGGCTGAGGAAGGTCGGTGCCAGCATGACCCTTGCATGGCCTGGCTGGGCTCTGGCTTCCCGCCACCAGAGGCTACAATCTACTCTGCTGAGCTTTTCTCAAGTGAGGGAGAGGACTGGGTCGGCACAGGTGGCTTGTACTTCTAAAGAAGTAGCTCAAAGCATGCAGGCCACGCACAGTGAGGGGCCTCAGAAGGGCTGTCATTTGATACAAAGCCATCTCACTCAGGGAAGGTCCCCCAGCGCGGCGTTACCTCCTCCAGTCTATCCAAGGCGTCGTTCAGCTTCCGCTGCCGCTCCAGTGCCAACAGCCACACCTGCTGCCAGCGGGCCGAGAGCTGGTTAATCCGGGGGTTTTTGGCTTCAGACTGTGAAAGAATTGGCATGGGAGGAGGGGTAGGCTGGTTCAAGGACTTCCCTAAAAGGGAAAACAGTAAAAGATGAAAAACGCTGGTTAGTCCACAAAGAGCAGCCATGTGTATGAATCTTCAGAATGACACCGGGCCAGTAACTAAGGACTCAAATACGGAAGCTGGCCACACTAAGAGAGGTGTGCTAACTTCACCATGCTGAGCTTCCTCCTCAGCGAACGGGTATTTATCAGTCTCCCGAATATATCATAACCGCCTCTGTCCTGCCTTTGTGAACTGAAGACCTGTCGACTCGACTGAAAAAGCACTGGGTTCTAGAGGGTCCACTCATTTTATGATTAAGTTAGTGCAAACCAAATGTGAACGGCTGACACTGATGACCAGAACGATGGAAAGGCCACCGCTCGGGAGCAAGCGTAATGCCCTGGGATTTCCTACCAACCGTAGAGACAGAGAGCAGCTGCTGTCCATCGGTGTGAGAAAAGTGCATTTCAACTACAGATACCAGTTCAAATCCCATATGGTTTTTGAAAATAAAACAGTATGTTTTTTTTTAAGAGAGTTTTTTTTTTTTCCTTGTTATATGGTGTGTACGCTTGCCAGAGACAGAAAGTGAGCAATCATCCCCCCGGGGGGGACGGCCATGGCGTAATCCCTTCTCTTCCATTCTTCTCTAGGGATTTTGGGCACATAGCATAGGCACACACGCCCAGCACAAATTTTTTCTTTCTTTCTTTTTTTTTTTTAAAGAGAGATTTTTTTGCTATAGGGTGTGTGCGCTAGCCAGAGAGACACATAGAAAGTGAGAAATCACCCCCCAGGGGTGATCGAAGGGTGCGGGGGGAAGGCACTGCTGGTAGAGGGTGTAGCCTGGAGAGTGGGGAGTCGGACACACTACAATCCCTTCTCCTCCATTCTCCTCTCGGGAGGGTTGACTACGTGGGAGTCCAGCAAAGTGACCATTACACCATCTGCTGTTCCCAAAAGAACAGCATTTCTGACAGACACTTGGCAAGTCAACAGAAATGACACGCCCTGACCAGGCTGACACGTACTGCTGCCGCGGGTTTTCTCCATGAAAGGTGGGTGGGGGGGCTCCACAGTCTTCCTCTTGTAGGTCTTGGTGACCCGGTCCACGTCTGGCTGTTTGCGAGTCATCTCCTCCATAAACATCTGTTTAACAAAGTGAAAAACCGAGAGTTATCTTGGACTTAAATGGAATCAGGCAACACCTTCCTAACAAAAGCCAAGTCCATGATGGACTGACTCGGACAGAAGCCCTTGCATACTCTCATTAACTTGATTGAAAGAGGCACTTCAGCAGGTGCTGAAGACTGGACCAAAGGGTGCCCAAGGACGACTCAGCCTGAGGCGGCAGGGAAGCTGTCCGGAGGCTGGTGCCCGAGATGAATTACCAAGGGAGTAAGGATCGAAGGGTGCGGTGGAGGGCACTGCTGGTAGAGGGCGCAGCCTGGGGAGTGGGAAGCTGGACACTGCGAGGACCAGAGCCCTTCCACTGCCTGGCTGAGCAGAAGGAGCCGTCAGAGGAATGGCAAGAGGCGTGCTGAAGGGGCGGGCGGGCGACAAAAGACACAGGGCCTCTGTGAGCTGAGGGACTAAGGTTTTATTTCAAGAGCACTGGGAGTAACTGAAGGCCGACCCAAGAGAACGTTGGGCTCTATCTTTACAGCGATCAACACGGCTCCAGGGTGGAAGGCAGTGATGGAGTGGGGTGGTGAGAGGGAGAGGGAGTAACCAGCGGTGGGGAGACAGCTTAGGAAACCACTGTCCTAACTGAGGCAAAAACAAGTAACTGAGGTCCTTAGACAGGGCCGGCAAGATGGACCCAAGACGCATTGCGAGAGCTGGACATTTAAGACCTGGTGGTGGGCCCGAGGTAGGGACAGGGGAAAGGGAAGAGCCCTCAGACACCTGCTGGGCCTTCATGCCTGGTGACTGGGCAATCAAGACAGAGGAGGTGGGTTTGGAAGGCAGGAGTGGGGTCGGGCAGGGCGGCAGAGATCGCACCGTTTTAGGGCTGCCGTAGTTCTGTGTGTCTGGATTTCAGGAGACGGTCGTGCTACAGATGAGGAAAAGATGCAGAATGTGCCTGAACTCGAGAGGGGAACTGCAGAACAGTCCGACACCTTGATGTTAGCTGGGTGCCGCCTGAAGAAGAGGGCCCAGACTCCTGACCCATGGAAACTGAGCTAAGTTGCTAAAACTGCAGTAATTTGTTAAGCAACAACTAAAAAACTGAATGAACACATAGACCAAAGGAACTAGGCTCCAGGACCAGCAGCAAACACCAGGGACCGCACAGTGATGAGGGTACCTGGTGCTCAGCAATGAGGGCTTTCACTCGGTCGATGTTCTGAGGAATGGGCTCCTGATCCCGCTGAATGAGGGTGGTCTCGGCCCACTGGATCCAGGCCAGCAGTTCTTCTAAGAGCTCCGCGTTAGCCACCAGTTCTGACAGGGCTGTTTCAAGACGCTGCTGGTGCTGCTTGGCCCAGGTCAGGACCTGCGGGGAGAGAAGGTGACTGTGGCCGCTTTCAGCCAAGCACATCCCTGTGTTTCCAACGCCCTCTTCATCTGATCTCATAATGGCTGTTCAGGAGGTGACTACCCAAGTAGGCACGAAACTGCCTCTTACCGCAGCACTAAAGCTGGGGTCAACTCTGGAATAAAAAGTTCTCCCGCCAGCAGATCTAGCACGCCCTGTCCAACACAAGCCTTCTCAGGAAGGAGGGACATGCTGCACACGTGGCCCCGGGCGTCATGCATTAACACAGCACTGTCCTTCCCGACTACTGGTGTCACCAGGAAAGCAGGCTGGACTGAAATGCCACCTGCATTCCT